TTTTTGGAATCTTTTTCGAAATCCAAAATTTTCAAATTACAGTGTTGGCATCGAAAACGTCGAGGATATCATTGGAGACTTGAAGCAAGCCTTGACTCAGCTGTAGTTCTTTTTTTCAGTCTTATATTTAGAAAATGATCGATTTCAGAGAATGGTCATCAGGTGTTAATATATCTTCAAGCAGATCGATTGGAATCGATTTGGGAACTACAAACTCATGTGTTGGGGTTTATCAGAATGGAAAGGTGTGTCTTGAGGGTCTCATCTTCAATTCCCCTGGTTTTCAGATCGAAATCATTGCAAATTTCGAAGGAAACCGAACCACACCATCCTATGTGGCATTCAATGAAACTGAACGACTTATTGGTGACGCTGCCAAGGATCAAGCGTCTCGTAATCCAGAAAACACAGTTTCCAACGTATCAAAATATTTTTTGATACCTTTTATAGGGACCGAGATAATTAAGCTCAAAGAGATTGTGGAGTACTGTCGTGCGATGAAGAGATGAACAAGGTCGAATGCACCTTATCCTAAAACGTGTCACGTGTCACATTACGATCTGATTGGACATACTCTGTGTGTAGAGAGTTTTCGACGGAAATCATTACAAATGAATGAGCCATTTTAATTGCTCATTGAGGATTCGAAATGGTTTCTTATCAGTTCAATGAAAATTGGTTTTTCTTTATGCAAACATTTCTGATGTTTCCTTTTTTCACTTTGATAAGAAAACGAAATGGGAGAAAAAAGAAAAATAAGCAATTTCAAGGAAAATTCTGGAAATTCTCATTAGAGCGCATTTTCTGATTTTTGAATTTTTTCGAAAGAATTTTTTTCGAAAATTTCAAAACCGCGCCAGAATTTCATAGAATTCTCATCAGAGTGCATTTGCAAATGTGTCTACTAAAAATGTCAAAAAAATCGCTCAAAAAATTGAATTCCCGCTCATTTTTTGCGGATTCTCCTTAGAGCGCATTTGCATTTTTCTTTTAAAAGTTCGATTTCTGAAATAAAAATGAAATTTGCATTCACAAAAGTTTGAATTTTTTCCGAAAAAAATTTTAAAAATTGTAAATTTTTCAATGAATTCTCATTAGAGCGCACTTTCTAAAATTAATAATTATTGAATTTCCAAAAACCTAAAAACCTAATTTTTGACAAAATTCTCATTAGAGCGCATTTGCTTTTTATATGCAAAAATTTCGAATTTGAAGCAGATTTTTCTTTATTTTCGATAAATTACATTTTTTTAGGAATTCAAAAAGTTCAAATTCGCGGCGTATTCTCAATAGAGCGCATTTTCTAAAATCCACAAAAAATTTGAAAATTTCCGGAAAAATTCGAAAAATTAGTCGTTTTCAGGGGAAATTCTCGACAGAGCGCATTTTCATCATTTCTCGAAAATTCAAATTCGCGCCCTTATTCTCAATAGAGCGCACTTTCCTAATCCCACGAAATTCAATATTTTCCAGGCGAAATTCGGCTCGGACGTTGGACTAATGCTTGTGGTCGGTGGAGACGTCGTCGACTCCTTCACCCGTATCCTTCCAGATGGTTCGAATCTTTGGAAATCCGCCGATATCATTAAAATTATCACGGAATTCGGTTTATTAGTCCTATCCCGGGACCAGTCCCATCCAATGGCCACAATAGAAAAAATGTCTGAAATTCCCAAAAATTTGGCTGAAAAAATCGAGATGATCGTAGATGATGTGTGTCCTGTGTCGGCAGTCAGTTCGACACGACTTCGAGCGGCGATTTCCGCGAAAAAATCGATAAAATATGCGACGCCGGATGAGGTTATCGATTATATACGGATCAATGATTTGTATCGATCTTCTTGATTTTTTTTTAAATTGTCGAAAAAAATAGGTTTTGGAATTTTTTCTTGAGAAAATTGTCATTTTCTAGGTCTCTCTGATGAATTGCTACATATTTTTTG